TATATGTAGAAGCTTTGAACCAGAAACCTCTAAGGACTTATACACAAAGATATGTGCACAACATTGCTTGTAATGTCAAAATATTGAAAACTATCTAAATGTCACAACATAAATTTCTGTTCATAAGAAACCTGTTAAAATAACAAATAGTATATCTTAAAAAAAAACCCCAAACTAAAAAAAGCTAAAACGAGTTTTTTTTTAAATACTTTTGTGTGATAGCATATAGTTAGGTCTTATAAAAGTTTATCAATTCAGTCACTCTGTATCTTTTGATTAGGTAATTAGGGAGTTCAGTTAGTTTACATTTAAAGTAAATGTTGATAGGGAAGGATTTACTATTGCCATTTTGTTAATTGTTTTCTATGTTCTGTCTTTTCCTAGCTTCCTGCATTCTTTTGTGTTTTGTTGATTGACTGTGTGTGTGTGTGTGTGTGTGTGTGTGTGTGTGTTGGTACCTGATCTCAAAACAGGCAAAGTGAGGACCAAAGGGAGGCCCAAACTTTCCCTATACGATGACCACTTATATACCTAATCCTGAATGTACCCCACATCTTTACAATAAAAAACAAAAATAAAAGGATAATAAAGAAAAAAAAAGATTTGTCAGAACTCACCTATAAAGATACCTTGACATTTTTTTGAGCATTGGAACTTAACTCTTTGGCTATGTTTTTAAAACATCTTATCTAACAATATATGCAGATGTGCTTCTTGAGTCATCATTTATGATTTATATTTTTAGAGAAAATGAACCATTTTATATAGATTATAAATTATGCAAGGAGTTCTTTTCAAATAATTTTATCTGTATTTGTAGCTATATTTATATGTCTTAGTATTATATATTTGGATTTTTTTTGTTTGTTCAAATTTATTAGAGGTCATTTTTTTCTGGATTTTTCAAAAAATCAAATTCATCAATTAAAAATTGTTTTATTATATGTATGATGTTCTTCATTTTATTAATTTCTTTTTATATCTTATGTCCTTTAATTTTCTTTTTGTTGTTTTTTGGTGGGGTTTTTTTGGTGTTTAAAGTTCAGCTCCTTTATTGCCAATCATTACTGTGTTCTAGTAAATACACTTAAAATTATAACTTTTTCTCTAAAGACAACTTAGACTATATCTCATGGATGTGTGCAGAGTTAGCATCAGGGTTTATTTCTATATAGTTTGTGATTTGAGTTTTGAAAATTTAATCCAGAAATCACTTAGAAGAATGTCTGAAAATTTTTAGCCAGTGTCCTTGGTTTCGTATTTTGTCTTTATGATTAATATATTTGCATTTATTGAGATTAATGTTTAGTTTTTACAAATTCTCTATGAGGAGTTTTTTTTTTTTAATGTTCATTTCTTATTTGGAAGAATTCAAAGTGACATGTAACATTATGTAATTAATAATATAATTCTAAATGCTTTAGTACACCAATTTATTTTCTACTGTTATTTTCTCAGAATGCTATCTTCATAATATAACATTAAGTATGCATTTTTTTCCAAAATTGTCTTAAAATGTTAATAGTGTTTGCCTTATATAGACAGTGCTGTTGTTCATTGCATAATTAGTTTAGGATTGTGCTTTTGATTATTATAAAGGATATACTGGCCTTAGTTAGTGGTTTTTGCTTTGCATTTTTCTTTGTAGAAAATTAATATTGCCATATTCACCTTTTTCTTTATAGTATTTGCCTGATATACTGTTATCCATGCTTTATTTTTTTTTTAACATTTTTGTGACATTTTGGTTTAGATATATTTCTCATTGTTGGATTTTATTTCTCTTATTCAAATTCCTCTAAAACTCATTTTTTAATTAATGAATTTAACCCATTTTCATATTCATCATGGTAACTGCTATGTTTGTACTTCGTACCATTTTATTTTATTTTCTAGTCATTGTACTTTTCAAAAATTACTTTCTTGACATTAGCTGAATTGTTTTTCTATATCCCATTTCTGTTTTGCTGGTGGTTTCCTTTGAATTATTGGTAGATATGCCCATCTTGATATTAAAAACTAAACCCCTGAAACCTCTTGCCACCAACAATAGAAGATAACAGTTATTGATTATTTACTATGTACCTGATGGCATTTTAAGTTCTTACCTGTATTAACTTGATAAATCCTCATAACCACTGCATGAGAGAGAAGTCAATTTTCGTATTCTTTATAGATGAAACGAAATCAGAAAGAAGGTAATTTTCCTAAAGGCACACAGCTAGTGAGTATTGGAGTCAAGACTCATCCTCAGGCTGTGGCTTCAGATACCTGCTTGCTTCACCCTTGAGCTACTGGAATATTTTTTCTTCTCCCTGCCTATACACCTTTCCCTCCGTGTTATGCTGAAATGGTCTGAAAATTTACTTCTAGATTGTTGTAATATATCTTCTGTTTTAAGAAGCCTCTAAACATTTGAAGGCACCATCAATCTTTGGACTTAACTTCAAATGTTATTGATTTATTTGTTCCTGACTGTTTCTTGGAGTTCATGCTTTCTGCCTTTTAGAGTCATAGAGTATATGCTCAAATGATGCTTTTCAGAAATAATGTGGAGATGGCATATTTTTGAGTGCTTTCTTATCTGAAAAATACCTTTATTTTACCCTCGTATTAGATGAATGGATTGGTTAGCAAATATTTGTGGATTTTATTCAGTATTTTGTGAGTATTGCACCTTTGTTTTTTAGCATTGGTCATTACAGATGAAAAATCCTATATAGTTTTTTTTTCCTCTGGAAATTTATAAAGGTTGGAGGTGTGTGTGTGTGTGTGTGTGTGTGTGTGTGTGTGTGTGTTGGGACATTCTACTCTGCATACTCAAATTTTTTAGCACAGGGAATTGTTGTTCTCTTATTCTTTAATCTAGCCTCTCTTTTTGAACTTGTTACTGATTTTATCACATTATATTTGTTTTTTCTCAGTGTTCTCAGAGGATTACATAACTGATTTTTAATATTGCCAACTTCACCCATGTAAATTCTGTTATTTAACCTTTTTTTAGGATTTGAATTAGGCAAATACACTTCTCTCAGAATTTCTTAAAACTTCTTTCATTGCAGTCTTATCTAATTATATGGATGCAGTATCTTCTCAAACATCTCTGAAGATAATAATTGAAGTTTTCATTAAATACTCTCATTTTTTGCGTTAACTGTTTCATGCAAGGTCAGGTTTTTTGCTCATTCATCTTGATTTTTTTTCATGCTATTTGTGTCTTGTGATTTGGTTGTATGTTCATATTTTAAAGTAGCTACTAGATTTAAATAAGTTTTGGTAGTGATTGTTAGGGTTCTTGCTATTATAGTAGTTACTTTCCTACTAGGCTTGTTCCTTGCACGTAGCAGCTCACCTCAAGACTCTGTTGTGACTGGAAGATTTCAGGACAAGTGAGGAAACCTTGCTCTCTTAACTATATACACAAGGAAGGAGCTACAGTGGAGGCAGAGTAATTTGATGACTCACCTACTATCCTGAGAGGCATTCCCCCAACCACACTTTAAAAAAATCTGTAGGTCTCTGTGTCTCTGAGCTTTCTTTGCTTTCTTATCTTATTTCTCTCTCCACCCTCAAAATCCATATTAGAATGCCCCTGTGTGCTGTAAAGTAAAATACCCATCTTTTCAATGGAGCAATAAACTATGTAGTCTCCTATCTCTTGTCTAACATCAGCTCTATGAGGATAAGAATTTTATCTCTACTATTCATGCTGTACAATATTCTTCCTTTTCTGTGGCTTATGTGTTCCAAGACCACTAGTGGATGCCTGAAACTGAGAATACTATTGCATGTAATTGCCATAGTCAGAACACATTTCTGTTGATGCCCTCCACTCAAAAATGTAATGCCTTTTCCATCTTAACCGCTTATCATGGATTAAGGCCATAACTTTTGCAATTTGAGGCTCAATAGCAAAAGTAGCATGCATTTCTTTTTTCCTTCTTCACAATTTCATAGACAGAAGATTTGTTCTTACCAACAATCTTAGCAACTTCAGCATATGTATTTTAAAATTTCCTTATTAAGTCAAGAACTTTCACTTAAAGGAAGTACTTTATGGCTTCTCTGTGGCATATCTAAATTGCCAGCACCACCCCTCTTGTGCTTTGGAGCCATTATTAAGTCAGATAAGGGTGACTTGAACACAAGCACTGCTATATACTGCCACAGTTGATGTGACAACCAAGATGGCTTCGAAGCGGTAATGGGCAAATGATGTAAATTGCCTTCATTCGTGGATATGCTATACAAAGGGATGACTCATGTCCCAGGCAGGACGGAGCAGGATGACTTGGGACTTCATCACATTAATCAGAAGGGTGTGCAATTTAAATTTTATGAATTGTTTATTTCTGGAATTTTCCACTTAATATTTTTGGATTGCAATTAACTATGGATAACTGAAACTGTGGAACATGAATATGAGGATAAGGGGGTACTGCTATATTCATTGCACAGTGCCTAGAACACAGTTGATGTACTGTATTTTGTAAGTTGAGACAACATTTATGTAATAAAAAATACCTATGTTTTACCCAATAATTTTTCTTCTAGAAATTTATCCTAAGGCAATATTCAAGGAGGCTCATAAAATTTTATGTACAAGGATGTTTGCATTATTTATAATTGTGAAAATTAAAACAACTCAAAAGTCTAACATTGGTTACATAAAACATTTATATGCTGTACATAGGTTGAACATTTAATAGAAGGTCTTTCTATTTATCCTTCTAGAAGTCAGAGATCAATTAAACCTATTTTATCTTAACTAAAGAACAGTTTTTTGACATACCTTAATTAGGATAACTGTAAATTATGCCTTTTAAATTGTTGTAATTTTTAAAAGTATTATCTAATATTTTTAATTGTTTACTTATGCTCCTAAGTAGTTTAGAGATAATCAAATTTTAAAAATCTAAGAACAAATAAATGAAGCTTATTTTTATGTAATCATAGTGGAATGGACATCCAGTAAGTAATATTTTTTTCTTTTATTCTAGAAAACAGCTCCTTGAACATGGTGAGGTAAAGTTTTCATTTTAATATATAGTAGAATTGTGCATTAAATTCTGATTCAAGGGTAATTCACAAAAGTATCACCCTGCTGATGATATACCATCAGTGGTGCTTGGTTTGTTCAGCATTGGTAGTAAATTACTGCTGATCCTTCTCGCTCTTTGCTCTCACTTTTGAGTATCAGGATTTGAAAGCTACAAGGTTGATTTTTGACTATGGAACATAATTAAATTAAATTGCCTTCATTCATTCATTCATTCATTCAGCAATAACAAGCATTTGATTTCCTGCCTGAGCTAATCAGCTACAGTCCATTGGGGCAGGCCTCCATGACCCTGTTACTTGTGGCCATCTGCTACCACATACACTTGAAGGCCATTCAGCTACAAGCCCAGATTGTTGAGGGGTACAAAAGATAGTATAGTAACGTTCTGCTCTCAAGTATGTATAATTTTACTTGGGAGACATTAAAGAAGATAACACTTTGATATGCTGTTAAATTATTTTGTATCAAGCAAAGGGCAAGATCAGTGTAGACTGGACATATGATTTCCTAAGTGGTAGAACTCTAAGTAGATCTTAAGGGAAAGGCCAAATTTACAAAGGAGGGTAACTGAATTGAAACTTACTAGGAATAGTTTATGATACATGTTAAGTATCCCTTATCCAAAATGCTTTGGGACCAAAAGGTTTTTGGATTTTGGATTTTTTTGAAGTTTGGAATATTTGCATTATGCTTGCCAGTTGACCATTTCTAATCTGAAGATCAAAAATGCTCCAGTGAGCCTTTTTGTGTTGTTTTTAGCAAAACCTTAGAGCATCATGTTGGTACTCAAAAAGTTTTTAATTTTGGAGCATTTCAGATTTTTGGATTAGATCCACTCAACCTATAACTAATTTTTTTTGGATAGTTACTATGTGCCATGTACTGTGCTGTTTAATATTCACAATATCATCCTAATTTTTACACTATTTGTAAAAATATATTTTCTTGGCTCTTATTTTTGCATTTTTTCCTACTAATTCTATTACTTTTCTACTAATTCTAAATAAGGAAAGTATGTTAATTAGGTAATACTAGCTGTTACAAAGATAAACACTAACATTCCAATAACTTAACTCAGTTGAGGTTTAATTCTTTGTTTACATAAAGTTCAAATCAGGAGTACCTGATTACCAGGTGGCTCTGTGAAAACCAACTATTGAGGGACCCAGACTCCTTCCATCTATGGCTCTGCCATCTTCAACAGGTGGCTTCCCTCTAGAGTTGACATTTTTGCTTACATCAAGTCAGAAAAGAAGAAAGAACATGAAGTTTATGCACTGGAGGTTTTGTAAGGACTAGGCTTGGAGGAGGTCCACATCATTTCCTGCCCACAGCCAGAACGTAGGCCCATGGCCACACCTAACTAGCAGGGAGGCTGAAACTGGAGTCTGGCAGTATGTCTAGGAAAAAGAACAAAGAAAAAGACACCAGAGAAATTATGCAGCTTACCTAAATTCTCACAGTTAATTTATGGTGAAGCTTGTATTTGAACCCAAACAGTTAATTTCCAAAGCTCTCAATGTAATAGTCAACACTTACTGTTTACAGCATCCAAAGGATTTTTGTAAATGATTAGCATATGTTAATAATTTCACCCTTAACCTTTGAGGTAGGTACCGTTATTATTTATATTCTACAAATGAAGAACTTTGGTATAGAGAAATTAAGTAACTTGCCTAAGGTCACAAAGATAAAGTGAGTTTGATTCTGTGGAACCAAGGAATCTGAGCTCAGGCAGCTGAGCTGCAGAATCCAGGCTTTTTACCATTCATTCTACTAGTTACTCATATAAATGACCTTTATGTAAATCAACTATGAAATGTAACATTACTCAATTTTACTTATTAGTGCATACTTCATACTTTATATTTTAATATATAGTATCTAAAGCCCATATCTTTTTAGAAACAGTATTCCTTAACTTCTGTTCTTTTTTCCCACATTATTTTGCTACTTTCTCATTGTTTTTTATTTATCCATCTATCCTTATTTTGCAAATTTTATTTTTTCTACTAATTCTATATACTTAATAGTTAAGTCTTTATTGTATGCCACTATATTCAGATTCCTACTTTAAGGAATTTATAGCATAGTGGGGGAAGATTTTAAAATGTGCACAGATAATTATATGTGCACTGATAAAAGCAAATAAAAAAGTAGTATGGAAGAAGAGGTAACTAAATCTATGTGGAAGGGATGTGGTAGTTGGGAAAAGATGTTTTTAAGTGTCTTTAGAGAAGAAGTGAGTCAAAAGGAATACCACAGTCAAAAGATGTGTATATGTAAAAGAGGCTTAAGGTAGTATCTTATGTTTAGAGCTATAGGCAAATGTGTTGCTGATACACACACAAAAAAGAAAAGTAGCAGCAGAAAAGGAGGCTGGAAAAGTAGGTAGGGTACAGACTGTGGAAACTTTGTACTTTACTGTTAAACAGGAGGTGGTAAGGTCATTTCTGAGTTTTAGGTATCCTAAGTCTGTTGGCAGTAAGGAAATTTTTTTTTAAAGGCAGAACAGATGTGAAACTGATTAACAGGAGAACAGTGATAGTAAATCTTTAAACTTAACAGTACACTTAACTCTGGATACATAGGCAGATTAGAGATTTAAATTTCTAACAATAGCAGATTTTATGGAAGGAGATGGTAAATTTCAGTGCATCGCCAATGTAGAGTCTCGTATCTGCTGGGCACAGGCTGACTTCTTATCCAGTTACCTCTGTGGACTCACTTGGTGAATCTATTCTGCATGGCTTTTGAGACAGGAACTGTTTTAACTTTAGGGATAATCTGTGTAGCTGGGAGGACAGGAGGTACTTCTCGCTTTGAATATGATATGATAACAGAAGCTTATTCATTCCAGTGTGTTTAAGGACTAGGTGAGGATTTGTTAGGGTGATTTTATCACCAGGAAGTAGATTTTAAATTGCTTGCTTTTTGCTAATCGTCTGAATCAGAGAAGATTGCATCCTCAACTCATGAAAGAAAGCCCGGAATTAACAACCTACTGTCATGAAATTGAGTTTTTAGATTTTTATTTTATGTTTATATAAAATGAGTGCATTGTGATGAAATCAAGGCCTTCAGTGTATCCATCACTGGAGCAAAGCACGTTGTAGCCACCAAGCAACATCCCATCCCCTACTACCCCAAGTTCCCACTGTCCATCATTCCACACTCTACTTCCATGTATACACTTACTTAGCTCCCATTTATGGTGAGAACATGTAGTATTTGTCTTTCTGTGTCTGAGTTGTTTTACTTAAGATAATGGCCTCCAGTTTCATTCATGTTGCTGCAAAAGATATGATTTCATTCTTTTAGTGACTAAATAGTATTCCATCGTGTATATGCACCACATTTTCTTTATTCAATCATTTGTTGCTGGATACTTAGGTTGATTCCATATCTTTGCTATTGTGAACAGTGCTGATTATTAAAATGTGTGACATTAAAGAATCCTGTCGTACAAAAGGAGGCCCCCCCAAAAAACCTGGAATTTATTTATGAAAAATTGTGCATTCTTACATGATTAAACTTCAATCACCTTCAAAGTTCCCCTTCATTTGATGCAATACACTCAAAACAGTTTTTTAATTCATCAATTTTGTGCTTCTGCTATCTTTTGTTTCACCTCTTCAACTTCGCAAAATGTTTCCCTTTGAGGAATTTTTTCATGGAGAAACAAAAAAGTCACCTGAGCCAGGCTTGGTGGCTCAGCCTGTAATCCCATGCCCTGAGAGGCTGAGGTGAGTGGATTGCCTGAGCCCGTGGGTTC